TTCTTTTTGCATTACCAAGGTTTATGTGTAATTTTGCCAGCCCCACGCCCCCTATTAATATTTACTCTAGACTAGGAGTGTATACGAGTCGAGTCGAACTCAAGTAATGCTATACCTTACTTGACTCGAGCTCAAAAATAGAAGACTGAACTCAACTCAGTGAAATGGTCAAAAAACTTGAACTCAGACTCGATATGGCTCGTGTCAAAATCGAGCCATATCGAACTCGAGTACTCACTACTCAATGCTGCTTTCAAGCATAAAAAGCTCGATCAGACCCATTTTTGAGCATTTAAGGTCGAAACCCGGAGAATGAAATTGAATTATATCTACTTCAAATTCTATTACCTTATTGCCATTAAAGAGTTTTATTGAGTATGCAAATCATCTTGTAAATTATTTGAAAGCATAAATCCCTCGTGGTAATTTCATATATTAAAAATATGTATTATTTAAATTAATAAGTACTCGACGAGCAGCTTGTCAAGCTCGAATAGCATATATTTTGACCCGAAACTCGATTTGCTTCCGGTCGACTAGCTCGATCTCGAATTCAAGTTTGAGTAGAGTAGGACAGTTAACCGAGCTGCTCGCAAGCTCCTTGGCGGCTCGGCCCTACTCTTGACTTGGTCCAGGGTGAGAGGTCAGCTGTCTTCGCAAAACGTCGCATCAAACATTCACCGGTTCTGCAGGTTTCCAAGTTTGCGCCCATTTCTTTCTTCCTCATCCTCATGTAGTCATGCCCAGCAGACACCCTCAATTTCATCAGAGCACTCGTGTCAAGATTTGCTTGCAATGGCAGCTTTTACCTCATGTGGAGGATATCTGCACCGTAGAGGGATCCGTACATTTACTCGTTGATGTTGTCGTGAATTCCTGTCGTGTTATCTCCATTTTAAGAATTGATACCTGCTCCTTTTCGACGTTGTTACGCATTTAGAAAGCAACATCGAAGTTCCTCTTTAACCATGAAACCGAACTGATCGTGCATCAAGAAGCTGACAACCTGCACACACCAGCTCTGCTATAATCCAACAGTACAGTAATGTCACACCCGCACCCACTACTAATAAATGAATCCATCGCCACAAGATTATTATTATGATCAAAAGCCTGCAGGCGGCCGTTGAAGGTGAAAGAGTAGTGGGGTTGTCCTCCCCCACCTTAGCTAGTAATAGCTAATTGCCGGAGGTCATTTCATTTTCTGAACCTGCGCACTGACTCCGGACCACCCCATGCATGCATGGCATGCTTGGTGGCCTGTCATTGTGCTTCTTGTGTTAGTAGTAGTAAATGTTTTCACCTTTAATTCTTGGTCAAGAATAATGTCCATGATTTGCAATTGAATCCTCTCTCTTTATCAGAGCAAAATTCTTGTATCCACACCAACATAATTGGGAGGTTATCCATTATGATCATGAAATTATATTCAAATCACCCAACTGCTGTGGAGACTAATTGCATATATAGTTCTGTTTTGTTGGGTGCGTCAAAGCCACCATCTCAAATGATTTTATCAATATACAGAAAGTACTCTCATGCAAGAAGCAAGTCCATTCCCTCTGTTAATAAATAAATGTAGTACTATATTCTATGTAAACTGCTAATGCATGGACCTAATCTTCCCCACCAAAAACAAAAACAGATAGTAGTTTTAGGTCGAATTATACAGATGATGCAAGAAAGTTAGGAGGAGATGATGCAAGAGAGGTCCATTTTGATGCTGGGAAGAAGAATCTTGAGATGGAAATCCGTCTCAGAAAGAAAGGAATCTGTTAGATACTTTATATATTTCGACGACCAATCCATTACTAGCTGCTACCACATATATTCCCTTTCATGTTTCAGCTTTTTGGCGTCCATATCTAATCTATCTACTTGGCTTGAGGAGTTAAAAAGAGTTGTGTTTTGATTATTATTATTGTTATCCTACCTAATTAACTTGAGTAACATCTCCTCATGAATCTTTGATAGTAAACTCCTATATTTTTTAAGTTGTTTTTTATATAGCAGTTTTTTTTTTAAATTGACTATTTTCATCTAGACAAAAAGGTTTTAGCTAGTTTGACATCAAATCTAGAGAACGTTACAGCCATAATTTCACAAAAAGAGCCAAATTGCTGAAACAGTTTATAACCAAAATTTGAAAACAGTTAGTGCCAACTTAGTTACTAAAAGATGCAGTATTTTGGGCCCTCATCTCATGTGCTCGAGCCGTAGTTATTACTTACTTTAGTCTCAATCAAGTGATGCCTTTGGTCCCTTTTGCAACAAAATGCCATTAGAGATGGCAATGAGGACGGGTGCCCGCCCTGCAGCAGGGGGAGTAATGGAGTGGGGATGAGGCGGGGCAGGTGCAAGGAAGGGGGGAATTTTTTCTCCCCCGTTTTAAATGGGGCGCTCCCACCCCATCCCCCATTTCAATTTATTAATATAAATAAATATATTATATTATATAATTTAATAATAATAAATTTAGAATATTTAACAATTAAACATAACCTTTATCTCATTTCTATCCAAATTCCTAGTTAATATTTGGTACAAACATGTTACGCGTTTTAGAAGTATTCTCAGATGTTATCTATACAATCCAATTGAGTTTCTTAATTTTCTTGGTGTTTCATTTCAACACTTTTCTTGTTTCATTTGTCTTTTTTCACTTTTTTCAACTCCGTATTTTATTTTTTTTTTTGAATTTAACTTTGATCTATTGAATAAAGCTTCTAGAAAAAAAAGTCAAATTATCACTTGTAAGCTTCTAGGGACGGGGGAGTTTTTTGGCAACGAGGCCTTCCCGCTCCAAACCCGCCCTGTTGCCATTCCTAAATGCCATGCCCCATCAACTACTATATATGCATCGCTTATTACCACACTCTTATTAACATTTTTCAGTAACTAAAACAAAACTGTGGAGTCATAGGATGAATACCTCTTCTCGAATTAAATGAGATATCCATTCAACTTTTGTGGTGGCATGCAAAGCAGGCCAGGGGAAAGACCAGGCAGCCTACCAGTACTAGTATTACATATATTGACATCTTAATGAAGGCCAAAACGTGCTTCTTTACTTTTCCACATTGATTTTCTTCCTTGACAAAAACCCACCAAAACGCGTTCTCATGACTTGGAAATGCATTCTCCTCAAACAACTGTTGTTTGGAAGAAAGGAGCTTGAACATAAGCCAATAGCTGTCTCCCATTGTCTCCTCATACAACTGCTACTACTTACCAAAAGAAAACGTCACTTACACTTGCTTAGAACTAAATTTGTAAAACCAATGACAATTCAGTAACATGAAGATGATAGTTTATTTAAACTTTTAAGCCAATCTAACAGCTGTCCACATAATATGATTCCATCTAGTCTGGAGACTATGATGATAGCATATGAATCCACCGCCCAGTTTGGATGGACAGAAGTGGAGGCAAGTAGACGAAAATAAAGAGGCATTAACCCCTCTATATCTTCTCTTGATTGGGAGAAAACAAGATAAAAAGAAAGAGGATGGAAATTCCACACCGAACCAGAACCCTACTTTTTTTCTAAGATCAAGGTTGAATAGGTAAACCAACGTGTGTTAGTTATCCATTCCTTTTTTTTTTTTTTCCCGAAGCCCCAAACAACAGTGAAGAAAATTGTCAACATTTCTCTGCTCTTATTTCCTTCTCTAATTTTGAGTTTTCTCTCTTGTTTTTTCCCCCCCTGTTCTCTTCCAACCATTCTGGTCTTACATCAGACAATTCATTAGTTGCATTCCAAGATTGGGATAACTAGCCGTAATTCGTGTATTTAATCTTATATTTGAGTCTCAGTTTTTAACTTAAACCCCTTTTTTTCCCCTGTTTTCTCAGCTAAATTACAACTAAACTCAAGCTTCAAGTTTCAACAGAAGCTTTCTCTGGTAGAACTGCGATCAAAACATTTTGGAAGCATCCTCAGTAGTAGGTGGCACCACGTTTGACTTGGCTAATAAAAACACTACAACTCACCCATCCTTTTTCGTGTAGGCGAAACGCGTTGACTCTGAGCTTTTCATAATAATAAATAAGCAAAAGCTACGATATATATATATATATATATATATATATATATATATGATCGTGCAATAATAGCTGTTTACAGAAGAAAGTTTGCTCCAATCAACCTTCTTCCAATTGAATTCTACTGCCAATATATTAGATTGCATTAGTGTTGTCAATAATATTTGCTGATCTGCTCTTGTCTTGGAAACAATAATGTGTCCATTACGGTTCATTCTGGTGTTCTTGTCTGCCGCATTAGCTGGGTATTTTGCATGGACGAGCGTCCGCTCTTCACAAGAATCTGGATTGATGATGGTTTCAGACCATTCTGCACACAAACCCACTCGCGAAAAGCAAGGACTCAGCTATGTCAAGGTAGAATAAGATATTAAGATTCCTACGCCCCTTGCCTTGATCATCTTTTCTATTCGTTTCCTCTGTTCTCCGGGCTTTCTTGATCTTTTCGTCGTTCGCTTGTAATATGGAAGATGTCCCACGAGGATATGGGGTTTTTTTTTTTTTTAACCTTGAAATTTTCAGATGATGCAAAATGGCTTCTGGGTATTCATTGACATGGCCAGCGGAAGGCACCTGTGGAGGCATCTCAAAGAGATGAAGAAAGGCCACACCACCAATGAGGAAGCCAAGAAAGAGAGAGTGGAATCCTCATAAGAGCCGACACTACTTGAAATCTTCTGTGCAGGTTTAGGGGCTAATTGGTGGAAACATCAGGATACTTCTTTTTGTAAAATTCCAGAACGATTCTTCCCTTCTGACATATGCTATCAGCATTAGGTATCGGCTCCTGCTGATAAGTTTTTTACATTCCGTGATGTTTTCTTTTTATCATCAGAAAGGTTCTATGTTCCTCCTGAATTTACCATGACTAAGAAAAGAAAATCACCATATTACTTGCTCGTGTCAATGTTAGGAACTCTGAACTCTAGAATTTACAGTTGGGCACTCTGAATTTACATTTAAGTAAACAATTTATATTAGTTGGAAAAGATTCGGAGATCTACATCCAATTTTCAGCACCTAAATGAAGAAATTAATAATTTAAAATTCATCCAAGGCTGGCTTCTCTTTTAAGGGACATATGTACAAGCAGAAAAGAAGAGGAACTTGTTACAGAAGGAGCTGCTTTACTTTAAATCAACTTGTAGCTTGATTGACATGTACAAGAGTGTAAGAAGAGCACCTTGCGGAAGTGGAGCAAACCTTGCAAGATTCGAACCGAACCACATGGCCACAATTGTTAAAGCAACCAGGCTGCTACTAGTTTTGCCACAAACCCAACTTGCGAAAGAAAGGCACAATATAAGCATAACACCTCCCCTTCCTCCCAGCATCCAAGCAACCAGATAACCAATCTTGTATCCAGCATCCAGCTTTTGGTCAAGGAAAGCCATGAGGGCACTAAAAGTGAGAGACAACTGTACACCAACAGTTTGCATTAGAAACAATGACAGGAAAGCTGATTTAAGCACTTCAACAAAGGAGCCTCTCTCTTCATCCTCAGTAACTTCTTCTGCTTCGTCATAGAATGAATGCCTCTTCTCTTTTGATTGATTGTGTTGCCAATATTTCTCCTGTCGCATTTTCCGCTTAACGTAAGCCCATCTATAGATCCTTAACTCATCTTCATATTCGGGGTTGTAATCCCAGCTACTCCCCAATGGCCTGCGACTATCCTTCTGATACCGAAGGGCTCGATCATACTGATTTCTTGTTGTTTCGTTGGATAATATCTACAAGAGGACAGTTTTCCATTTGTTTGACAAAGTTTGAGCAAATTGCTGAAGCTTCTAAAGCAAGTTCTTTAACCAAACAAGAAGTTTCCTCGGATTTTGAGCAACAATATATTGTGCATATCCATCTAGAGCGACAAGGTCTCATTAGTTACACAATTGAACGAATAAATTCTATTTGTGGTCTCAAAGCCTTATTCCTTATTGACCATACCCAATCAAATACAGCATATTAGTGACAAAAGCCCTAATCACAAAGAGTAATTTCAATGCATTAAAAGCCAAATATATAATGCAACCAGTTATTTGAAAAGACCATAATTTCAGAAAATATTGAAAAAGAATAATCCACAGACTGATAATCTTTATTTTTGGTGAACACTCAGATGATTATGCATTCATATTTTAGAATATCAGCAAGCCATTATAATATAGAAGCAACTGCTCACATCATAAGCATGCCGGATGCTCTTGAAAGTCTCATCAGCTCCTGAATCCTTGCTAACATCAGGATGGTGCTGCAATTATCTGAGAACCGTTAGTATCCATTTGACGAGGACCAAACATGAAAATCTAATCTAAAATGATCAAGCGCCCTAAATAAGTGAATCTGGACAACAAAGAACAGATCACAGCAGCCAATGATATGCCAGAGAACTAAAGTAGCATAACCTTAGAAAGTACCAGCATCACCACAAGATGCATGCAGCAGGAAGAATTTGTGTCATCAGGCCAAAATATGTACTCATCAACCAATTCTAACTGCCAATATCATCATACCTATGTCCGCCTAAATGTATGTCATGCAGTGTAAGTGGAAGTCCACTTAGAAAGAATCAGAAAAAGGTTTAGAAGCACCAAGCTCAAAACATCTCAATAGCAACAAACTCCCTGCCTCACAGCTTTCCGCCACATTGTTTAATATTTACTCTGGATCTTTTAAGATCCACAAGAAGTAACTTTGCGAAAAAGCAAAAGGCTTTCGTAAAATATGCATAGCATCCAGAAAACCATTAATCTCTCTACAACTCCTGCCATTAAATTGGATGGGGAAATTTATTCCAACATTAATTGTTTCCTTATCTTCGTTTTTCACTTCTTTTCACTGGAGTGCAAACTGAAGCACTGTAGATAACCAAAATGCCAAAGCACATGCTCTTTGATTGACCTAAGATGATGCTTGAACTTACATATTCGAGCTGGCCTACGCCTAAACAAAGTCAGCTGCTAAGCATCACAATTTCAGATTGTTCAGATCGGTAGGTCTCAATCTATTACAGATTGCAACCATCTAATGCACTAAATTAACAGCTTTAGCTCCCATTATTCAAGCTCAACAGAAAGTTTACTAGACAGAAGTACATGTAGAGTTAGTAACTGTTTAGCCATCACATAATAGTCGAAGATGGCATTCTCTGTGGAAGTTAAGTCTCTTTTCAAGAGACAGAAAAATCTAGACGTTCTTTCAATTACAATTTTTAGTTTTGCAATCAGAAAAAGTTATTATATGTTTGCAAAGAAATTTCTCAAAGTCTGAGAAAAGGCCTTAATGTAGATGACTGTGTAACGCCTGTATCCACCTGAGATTCGCCCATCCAACTGGAGGATCAAGAGGGTTGAATTCTTATGCTCATTACTCGAAACACGACATTTGTCATACCATACAAACTTGTCCTATCTTCCTTTTGGATTATGAAACAATATTCTTGGCTGATCCTGTCCATTGCCCTCTCTTTCAAATGATAGGGACATCAATGTTAAACTCAAGTGTCTTAAAGATACATGAATGATGATTGCCAATAGCAGATGGACTCAAATTCTACTTTCCAATGTCTCAAGTTGTTATTCTTTTACAGATTATTAACTCATTTTGTGGCACTCTAACAGATCAATGAACACTAAAATAGGAAAGTTTTCCTGATAAAAGAAACCTCAAATCAAAAGTGAACCCTGAAAAACAGTAAACTCTTAAGAGTCTTGTGATGGTTTCTTTGGCCCTTTTTTTGTTCAAAGTACCGCTTCCTTACTTTCTCAATCCCCAGCATTGAAATGACCCCTCTAGTTTTTCATGAAACATAAAAAATGTTAGTTCATCTATGTCAACCATAGAAAGGATTGTTACCTAGTTTGTCCATAGGATAAACAGCCTGAAATATTGTCACACTCTAATTGGACAAGTTAGAAATGTCACCACAAAATGGAACTCGGTTTTTGGCTAGGAAATAAAATCCTTTCTTGAATGGGAAAATTTACTTCTTTCCGCCTTGACTGATGCTCTCACTAGATGATTTTCTCAGAAGATTGTTCAGTCAAGCTACATTGCAACTAAATACAGAGTGATTTTGTTTTCTCCATATTTTATAGCTTGCCCACAATTCACTAGTGAATAATCGTCATGAAAGGTGCTACCAATAATTATTTGCTGCCATGAAATGATGGTATACCAATTCATTCACATCCCAAAGATTTTTTTTTTTCATTAATTGGGCAACAATCGAAAACCCCCCAGGCCCCAGGGGAAAAAAAACCAAAAGAAATAAAGTTATGGACCAGTAAAATCAAGAAAGCAAAATTGGTTACCAAAATCAATACTGAGGTGAAGCTCAAAGAAAATGAGAAAGTATGAACAAATACTAGAGGTAGTGGGGCACCTTGAGAGCAAGAAGGCGGTAAGCTTTTCTGACATCGGAGGGGGAAGCATCCGGGGGGACGCCCAGCACGTCATAGTGGTTCTGGTGGTGGTGGTGGCGGCTGTTGGGGGCGGTGGCTGATGCTGTGAAAGTGGGATGTGGTCGACGGCGAAGGCTGCGATGGATGAAGTGGTTCCGGTTGTTGTCGGAGAGGAAGCTCCTGTTGGAGCCGGAGCTTCCCCCGCCGTCCATTGTGGTGCGCCCCAACAGTATGTATGCCTGCATTTCGCTTCAATTCTCACTGCCGAATGCCACTGCCAATGTTTTCCCGTCACTGCCACGGGTATTGGCACTGCTAATTGGGCATTTGGTTTTTGCTCAAGCTTAAGATGGCAGGACGATTGCATTGGGCTCATGGACAAGATCAAGCCCAACCATATTGGGCCTGAGCCCCGTTCTGGGAGAAGCTCCCTTTTTTTTTTCTTTTTAACAAACTTGAACCACCATGTAATTGTGAGTATCAGAAGACAAAAAACTCTGTTCATTGAGAATGTAACCTCTAAACTTGGTTACTGACTAATCAATCTTCTATGCCAATTAGATACTTGCATTCTATGCAGACTCCACTGTTTTAAAAGTTTAACATGATTATTGTAACGATCAGGTGCCCAATACCAGCATTTACCTTTGCAAAACTTCAAAAGCAAGCATTTAGGTAGATCAAGAAAGAGAAGTGAATGAGAACATCCACAAAATTCATTCACTCCCTTGAAGGTTTGGCTCAAAGGGGTACAAGTACAACTCCCTAATCATCCTGCCAACAACATTAGTATTATTATGGCTGTTGCGCTGCCTGTCACTTCTTCTCAGGAATCTTTTCTGCAACTCTGCTTCAACTTCTAAGTGGCTTTGATCCATGTTCGTCTAAAACACCACCAACAGCTACTCCCGGCTACTAAATGCCGAGCCATCGCGCATTCAGTTTGCGAACCCTGCTTTAGGAGTCCTCCTCCACGGCAATCAAAACTGCTGTGAATAATGAATTAATTCCGCCCCTCTCACCTGGACCAGCATCTCAATGGTTAACTAGCGGTTCATGTTGCAAGTCAAGGCATCAAGCTGAAGAGCAAGTACAAGGCTTCATTTCCAGTTACAGCAAAAGATGTAAATATATCACAATTACTCAGGATATCCCGAACCTAAAACAACCTATAACTAACAGGACCATAGCTGTGAGAGAGATTTCCCCTTTTGGCACGTAACCAAGCAATCCAGCGCTACATCTCTTAGCTGCTCCTCAATTTCTTCAATGGGCAGGGTGGCATCTACTATCTACAAATAACCAAGAAATAAGGTCAGCAGTTACACTCCACCTATATCTACCAAAATAACAACGGTGTTGCCAGTAGAGCAAGTCAACTTCTCACATATCAAGGATCACTTTGATGTCTTGGCAGTTAATACAGAAACATGTAAGAAATTTTTAATCCAAGATTCAGGACTCAAACTATTGCATATAAAGCAACCTTTACAATTTCTTACAAATTGGTCGCACACAGACAGCCCAAAAAACTTATAATTGTAAAACCAAACCCAGAGGTAAAATCCCAATAAATATTGCACTTCTTTAACTTGGATTTGTCTCAAAGAACATACCATCCTTGGTTTAATATTTAAAACTCAAGGGTAGAGGAAGAAGCTAAACAAGTTACCTTCCAAGAGGCATCAAAAAGCTTATGATAAGACTGAGCAACTTTCTTTTGAAACTCAAGCTGCTCATATCTCTCGCCTCCGTAGCCTCCTCTTTCAGCAGCTTTCTGATATTTGTCAAAAATATCTTCAGTCAGCTAAGAAGCAGTCTGGTCAAGGCAACAATATGTCTATCGAAGCATAAAGTATTTCTACTTTTAACACTCATGATGGTTGTTGAATATAACTCACGTCTTCACCACAATTTATATGGCTAAACAAGATAACAAAGAACATAAACACTCATAAAGTGAATCCATCACATCCAGCTGAAACTGGTTAAATGATCAGGGAATTTAAGTTTTTGCATATTGTCACATCAAAGTGTCATAAGTACAAAACTACCATCAGGATTAATTGTAAAAGGGGCCAAAAGCCCCACTACTGCAAGTGCATGTACTGAGAATTTACCTCTGGTGATATGTCAAGATAAACCACCAAATCTGGAGCTAACAAACCCTTCTCTGGAGTCTGCACTTGCAAAAAAAAAAAAAAAAATGGAATACTCACTAGCACTGTCACAATCAGATAATAAGCATTAAATAAAGACCATGTTACCTTGCACCACAGGAGATCAAGTTCCTTGGCAGAAGAGAAAGCTACACCAGAATAAGAATATCGGTCAACAATGAGAGTAGTTCCACACCTAAGCTTATCTTCCATTAATGACCTGCAATGAAACATTGAATAATTCAATGAAAATGTTTAACCTGAAATACACTCAGGTACAAATGAGTATCTCTATCAAGCATTTGCAGTCACATTATATGGAACGTTCAACGAATAAGCATTTCAAGTCATTGGAATTGCTTAGGCTACATGGAGAAACCTTGAACACGGTAAGTGGTGAAATTATCCATTTTCTCTGCAACATGCAAAGAAACAATTCTGTGCTCTAACAATCCCAATGATAAACATTTCTTCATGATAAAGTAGATAGGTGTATCAAAAACAATAGCAGAAATAGAAAACTTATCCCTGGCTTATTTTGTGACGTATTGTCATCATTTATCTTCAGCCGCCTCTATTGTCTCAAACTGGTTTTATATTACAGTGTATGGGTGGATAACAGATTCTTTCAAACCTAGCCCATTGTTGAATACAATGCGAAGTTACTGGAGACCCTTCTTTTCTCTAACTGGATATCTCAAGTCAATTACATGATAAGATGTGCTAAGTGCAACGACATTTTGCTTTGCCAACAAATCTAAATGCACATATAATTCGAAATTCTGCAAATTTCTAGAGCAACTTTCCCTCATGTTCATCAGAACTGCTTTATTTACTCGACAAGAAAATGTTCTCTGGACTTACGGTTAAAATGTTCAGTTAATTCGAAACCAAGACGTGAGATAAATGAGAAACAACATGATTATGCCAAAATTAGCAACTTAATTAAAAACTATTGAAGGTGGATCCATTACCCCAGAAACGACAATCATTTCTACTCGGTAAACCATATAACATATGGAAACACAAGTCAAGTATACGCAAGTTTACCAGGAGCCCTACACACAGCTAGACAGGCAAAGAAGGAGAGTGTGAGAGAAAGAACCTCTTCTCCCACCGATTTGCACTGAACAGTAAATGAATTGCACGATCATCCAAGTGTGACCTATTGGAAAGGTAAGAAGAGATCATCTTCCCAACAACAGTAGTTCTATCAGGAAACCTCCACATTTCAACCGCATGTCCCAGCCCTGTTAAGAATGAAACTAATCGGCTAGCCTGTGAAGTCTTCCCGCATCGGTCCAGACCTTCAAGAACAATTAAAGCCCCCCTAGAATGACTCTTCAACCTATTCGGGGATTGATCCTCCATATGGATTTGTTTGAACGACAAGCACTTGAATTTAAACTTCAAGTTCGAATGAGAGTTCAACAGAGATTGAGTAGGGGCTACCCTGATGAAATTTCTAAATCTGAAGCATATATTAGAGAATAAATGAAACTCAATCAGCATATTATGGTGTCCCACACAATGCTATACAATGGAATGCGGGTTAAGTTTATAAAACCTAACGCAACATTAAGTTCTATCGCACAACAAAACAAAGCACACTGGAGACCTGAATATACGCACACAGAGATGACCACAGCAGACAGAAAGATACCAGACATGAAATGTATAAATGAATTTCTACTCTGTTTCCAAGTATGTCAAGTTAAATTTAGACCATCTTTTAAAGTGATTTTCTTGGCAGGCTAGCTAAAGAAGTAAAGAACACTAAGTTGAAACCAACACTTAAATTGCAAACAGCAAAAATGCATTGTTTATGGCTAAAAACCAAGTTTGAAAGAATAAAAATCCAAGCTTTGAGGCAAAAAGTATGGCGTTCGAGTAAACAAACTCGTACAGAGACATTTGCAACATTTAAATAAACTAATATTTACTTAGTGGGAGGGGGGGAGGGGGAGTCCCAGAAAAAAAGTGGGAGGGACAGAGGTTTTCCATCGACTGAAACAAACAGAAGAATTTACGAAAAGATGTATTGAAATTACACAACGCATATAAGGATCCGGAGAAGCCCATGAAAAGTTACCAAATTTGCAAGACAAACAAAGACAAGGAGACATGGATGGATTAATTGAAGTTGACATGTACTTACAAAGAGCTAGAACGTGAAATTGCTGGAGGCATGCATCGACCTTCAAGTTCACACCTGGACCAGGTCATGAAGCCATAAGGCGGCTTCGAGGACAGGATGGAAGGACAAATTAGCAGAATAAGGAATTTTTTCCCATTTTGTGTCCCTAATGAAATAAATTATTGTTGTAAATGTCAAGTGTCTAAGCATAGGTTTGAAGACTGAAGTTCTTTTTCAAAAAAAAAAAAAAAGACTGAAGTTCATTCACTTGATAGAGTCAAAAGTCAAAGCAAGCTATTTGAAATTCGGATTGAACTCAAGAAATCTAAGGGTGCAATGGAGCCAAGGCAAACTCAAGTAGCACACCATTCAATCCGCTTTGCTCCTTTTCCTTCGCGGGGCTAAATTCACTATAAAGGCAAACTCAATTTAGTATTCACTATAATTTCACAATTGAAATATATAAAAATAATCAATAAAAACCTTTTGAATACAATCTAATACGATGAGACAATTATAACTAAAGTAGTAAAATTTTCATTTTAGAGACAAATACAATCATCAAATCATTATGGTATTTTTTTTAGAAAAAAGTGTTAATGTGTTAAGTGTAATTAGAAATTTAGTAGATATGACATGCATAATTATTAGTATAATTGATAGTATTAAGTATATTATATATAGTAATATACATTATATAATACTTATAACTAATAATATCATGATTATAAGTTTGTAACTAATTAAATTAAATATATATATAATTTTTTTAACGAGTGGCGGGGCGAGGGAGCTTAACGGGAGGGAAAATTTTCCCCTTGCCCTACCAACCCCATCCCATTAGCCCCCACGAGCGCTCGGTTCAATTACCATCCCTACTCAAATTCAACTCGAGTTCGACTTTTAATTTTGATAACTTTGAGTTCGAATTCGATTTCGTTTTGCACCACTTGAACTCGAACCGAACCTCATGTTTTTCAAACCCAATCGAGTTTAATCTAATCGAGTCTAAGTGAGTTTAAGAAATATAAATTTGTTTCCAAAAAAAGAAATATAAATTTATATTTTATGTAATTTTAAATAAGGGACAAAATAAAAAAAATCATTTTAATAAATAAAAATAAATAAATAAATATGTATGTGTGCGCGCGCGTGTGTGAAACTCGATCGAGGTTGATTAAATTTGACAAACTTTCGAACTTCGCACATCAAGCTCGCATTTTACTCGTCACGTAGTTTGAGTTATTCGGATTTGAGTTCAAAATCGATCAACACACGTTCGACCTTGAATTATGACCAAGCAAGCTTGCTTTGTCAACTAATTAAACAAAAGAAAAACTAACAATATTTGCAACTTTACATTTGAAATCTTTATAAATAAAATATGCAAACTATTTGAGTTCAATAGAAACTATCAATGAATAAAAGCTTTGACAGTAGTATCCCACTAAAAATTATTTGGTTTATAATTGAGAAGAAATTGAAGGGGCGGCCTAGTTGTACTTGTTCTCCTCTGTTACCGCCCTTGTTCCAAAGTCCCCGGGGGGTGACGACACTGACCAGTGATCAAAGCGAGCATGGTCGGTCGTCGCCCCTTCCCCTGGGTCTTCGAGCTGACTGGGTCTGTGGGGCAGCATTCAGCAACCATAAAAAGATGCTAAAAAAAACCTACCGCCGAACGGGATCTTCCATCACTGCAGACTACTTGGAAACTTCCAAAAGTTGTCAAGATTCTTTAAGAATTACGACTTTGCTAAATACGATTAAGGTGCGTTACTGATTATGATGATTTATCCGGTGATCCCTGAGTCACTAGTCACTACTACCGCTGATTATGATGATTTTCTACTATTCAACACGTAAACAACCCACAGTTCTAATCACACTGCAGTCTGCATAGCTTCCAAAATTACGTCTACATTCAATATTAATAAAAAAAAAAAGACACCCTCCCATGAAGTGTCTATGTAATTCCTTAAAAATTTTCTATCCCTGCTTTCTCCTCCTTTTTCCATCTCCTCTCCTTCTTTTTTTCATTGGGTACTTTCAGTTATTGTTCTACTTGTACATCAATTCATATCCCGCCTGCTTTCTTCTATATTCATTTGGTTTTAAAACATATAATACATCACCTTTCTTTTGTCTCCGAACAGGGATTTTGCAACCCTTGTCCTACATCGCAGGTACTTCTTTCCTTCTCGCCATTTCTTCAGTTTGGGTGTTTTATAACAAAGATTGTAGTTGTCATTTGTACTTTTATGATAGCCCATTTGGGATTTGGATCTGACCAAATTATTTTCTTCTTTTTTTTTTGTTGCTATATATATATATATATATATATATCTAATTTGTTATTTAATTTTCCGGATCCTTTCGCTTGTTGTGACTGATTCATGAATGTGTTACCCATAGTCCTTGCTGCCTTCCCATCTTTGGACCTTTTGGTTGTTTTCACTGCAAAGATGGTCTTTTTCTTTCTTTTTTTTTCAATTCTCAAATGTTGGTTTCCCTGGCCCGTGTAGAGGATAGATAAATTGCTATTCTCATCTCGCAACAAGATCAAAACACATTGCTATTGTTAATATGGAATACAGTATTATCTATGCACGATCATATTCTGTTCTCTATTAGTCTGCATTCCAGATGTCTGAGATCATCTGAATGAGTTAACCCTCAATTTCTCTTCAAACTGGTTTCATCCTGTTTCTTTCTATAAAAAATTGGTAGTTAACAGGGTAATGAAACTACTGGCTCTTTATGAGGAAGCCACTTTACTATTCATACCCAACAGAGTGAAACTATGGTGGTCTCAGCAGGCAATCTAAGTATTTTTGATGTGCATTGCTGGCACTCGTCTTCTGTGGAGTACAACTATACTGCTTTAGACAAATGGCATTTATTGGTGACAAGATACTGAAGATTTCATCTAATTTGCTTACTACCTAGAAGCCCTGTGTTATTACTGCAGCTTAGAGTTTTTTTTTATCTCAATCCACTTTGTGTATTGACTTACAAAAAAACTGGAGAAAATTGATTTCGAAAAGATGAGTTGTTAGGCGTAAAAGAAGAAACTCAATATATAATCTACTGTCCAGATGTGGAAAGGTTGAGTGGATATCGATGGGAATCTCTAGGATTAAAGGAAAACCTAGATGTTTATTGGTTGGCAAATGATGAAGGATAAGATGGAATTTGAGAGAGCTAGTTCCCAAATTGAACACCTTCTCATAGGCAATGTAATTGAAAGCCCGACACACGTCAATGAAGAGAACAAGGAACATGTATCCACTTGGTCCTATGGCTTCTTATAATTGTTTTGCCTTTTTTTTTAGCAGACTAATTGCATGCTAAAAGTTCTACAGTTGCAATATGGTGGAATATTTTTGTTTGTAAGCAAAAAGAGCTCATATCTGCAAACTCATCTCTCTCTCTCTCTATATATTATTTGACTTGTTCTGTTAAGTGTTTGATGAGTTAAGGTTTAGCCTTTCAGTTAACAAGATTACGTTCCTCGAAAGGGATCCATGTTAGATTGATTGTGTATATTATGTACTCTAGGAAAGAAAGCTTGCTGCATCCTCATGGCTACATTGGGCAATTCAGCAAATATCTTCTGGCATGAGTGTCCAGTTGGGCAGGCAGAAAGGCAAAAGCTACTGAATCAGAAGGGATGTGTTGTATGGATAACAGGGCTCAGTGGATCAGGTCAGTATTTTGATTACTTTGCTACCTTTAATGAGTTTTAGAGTCTTTGGCCTTGAATAATTTTACCTTCTCAATTAAAGTTGGTTAAATGTGGTTTATACCTGTTTAATGTTCAAGGTTCGAACACCTTCATATGCTTATTATCTGGAGTCCAGATGTTCACCATTCTTCTTATGCCCCCTTTTCAAACTTCTTTAGGTAAAAGCACACTTGCATGCACTCTTGGCAGAGAACTGCATTCTAGGGGACATCTGTCCTATGTTCTTGATGGGGACAATCTTCGGCATGGTTTAAACAAGAACCTTGGTTTTGCACCTGAAGATCGGACAGAAAATATACGTCGGGTTGGTAAGTACGTAGTACATCTTGATGGAATGTTTTTTTGTTTATCGAGTAGATGTGGCTGAACTGAGAATTTGAAAATAATCTCCAGGAGTCAGATTCTTAGTTGTTAGGTTTTGACTTAAATTGCCCTGAATATTGCACCATGTTAAGTACTTTGACAGTGCATTTCTCTGTGAAAGTTTTGACATTGGATAAGATCTCCATTATGTATGTTCAGCGTGAGGAGATACTCTGGTCTTTCATCCAGAATTTGAGGTTGATATTTTTCTTTCGTCTTTGAGAAGGAGAAAGTCTACACCATCTGATTGGATAGAAAGGTTTGTTTATGGTTGGAATCTTCTACCAGTTTCATTTAATAAAAGAAACCCAAGGCAGCAAGGCCTCAACTCTTGCACAAATTTTATATGGAAAATTATATTTTTCCTCTCTACCTCAGTTAGAATATGTTATTTCTTTATTGTATTTCTTCAAAATTATTTTTCCAAGTCGTTTGATGGAGGACAGAGATGATGTTGCGACTCCTGTTTCAATTTGCTATTTTTTGTGGGTTCACTGTAAAAGTTTGATTTTCAGGACAGGGATGAATGGTTTATTGGGGTAATTGAAATATATTCCGACCATGTTATTGGGGAAATCTGTTTTGTGTTTGTTTGAGGAGAATGCACTTAGAATTCTAGGAAATGTAGTTTATTGGAGAAATTGAAATATATTCCTACCATGTTATTTCTTGACTCTAGAAAGGATGTATTACTATTTAGTATTCGCCAAACTTCCACTTCAAGGGCGGAGTACTTGTTGATTAGTATTACTACCTTAATCCCTAAATCATTGTGTTTGCATTTGCTTAGGGGAAGTAGCCAAGCTGTTTGCAGATGCTGGATTAATTTGCATTGCTAGTCTGATATCTCCTTATCGAAAGGACCGTGATTCTTGCCGTGCATTATTGCCAGATGCAAACTTTATCGAGGCAAGGATATTAGTTGTATGTATTATGTTTGTGTAAACATTTGATCTGTAATTTAACTTATTATTGTCGATTTAAACATTTTAGGTTTTTATGAATATGCCTCTATCATTATGTGAAGGAAGAGACCCCAAAGGCCTCTACAAGCTAGCACGAGCTGGAAAGATCAAAGGTATATTCTATTTGGTACTGCATGCATTACTAGATGCTCAAATTGTATCTATAATCTCATTTGAATTCCAAGATTACGAGCCTAGCCCTGGTTAGGGTGGAAAAAGCTTAAATTAGAAAAAAATCAAACAGAAAAAAGCTAGTAAAGCAAAGAATGAGCAATTCTAGTTATGAGTGGTGGATTCTACTGTTCTCATCTGCTTGACATGGTTTCAAGTAAAGATATCAATTTAGATCCTCCTGCTTTTGTGTCAATCCTTGTTTTTACCTCTACACACCAAGTCCATTTAAAGTAATGATGTGGGGATTCAATGCTTTGACTTGCTGCTCTATAGATAGTAAACGCAATCTTCTTGTTTCTCCAGGTGATAACATAGAACGTATGGACCAATGCTAGAATCATACTTTGCTCTTCTTGGATTCTGTCATATAGTCTAGCTGAGGCTTCTTTATTCTTCACTGCTGTGGCAGAACTCTCAAAAAGTTCATCTGCTTCCACCTAACCTGATTGTATTACAGGTTTCACTGGGATTGATGATCCTTACGAGGCTCCTTCAAATTGTGAGGTGTGCTTTCCTCGAATTCTATGATAGAACGATGTCAGTCTTCAAGTTCTTGAAATATTTCACCATGGTCGTTATGAAACCCTCTGTGTTTTGTTGGTCTTGTGCGCTTGGTGACAACTGAGAGATCATACTGATTCATCCATTCCTCCACTTTTTCAGATTGAGCTACGGCAGATTAATGGAGTTTGCCCTGCTCCGTCTGAGATGGCCGGGAAAGTAGTATCCTACTTGGACGGTAAAGGATTTCTACAAGCTTAGGGGTCAACAACCCAAAAGATTTTATTTTTATTTTTTAATTTCGTTCATCTCTTGGATCTATCTGGTTGAATACATTCCATGATGAAGGTTATGGGGTGGACATGGTGGGGTTGCACGGTTGTCTCATAATGTATTACAGAGTTTAGAGCACACTAATCATTACTGCAGCAGTACTTTAGTAAGGGAGCTTGAGAAATGTATGATTCCAGTGAAGTAGAGGTTTGTGGAGCTGGGGAATTATCTAAAAGGGTCTAATGTATTAATTTGGTGCTATAGATGGACTTGTTAGAAGAAGGAAGTCTTGGAGAGTAAACGTATGCTTTGAATGTTGCTTCATCAATTTCCTGCAGGCGCAGAAGATTTGATTGTTTACAGATATTATAAGCTCCTTGCATGAGAGATACTACAGCTTTACCTGCAACTTTTGAATCTTTGTAAAAATTGCATCTTTATATCACGTCGCCAAAGCAAAATAGTCTCAGAGGCGCATTCTCCTTTGTCTATCCCCGAACTAATCAATGGCTGCCTACATATATCTATATTAGTGCTTCAACAGTGGTCGAGTTTTGGTTCAGAGGGAAGAAAAATAATCGTCAATAAACGGCCAATGGGTTGCAATGACCCTTTTAACGCTAGTCCGCCAGAGGAGTTGTTTCCTTTTTGCTTAGAATATGCGGGCAAAAAATGCCCTTCGTCAAAGCATCCTGCCATTCGTGTGATTTGGCCGATGGCAAAATCGGATAAACTGGTCAAAAGGGTTATGGGTGCCTAAGTTTACAAGTTTAAGGGTTAAAAGTTGATTAAAAATAATTAAAGGACTTAATTTTACTTAAATTAAAAGGTAAAGGGCCAAATGGATAATTTGTCCATAGTGGTATGGTAGCTGCATTGCTGGATAAAAGTCTCTCTTTGACTGGGACATGGTTCGGAGTCAAAGTCAAGGTTGCGATCGTGGTTCGGACCATTCTACATTGATCTCGACATATCGATGATAGTTTCGACTAGAGGTGCTATCGAGTCGAGTCGAGCTCGAGTAGCACCATACTCGAGCTCGAGCTTGATCAAAATTTGTGCTACTCGAGCTCGAGCTCAAGCTTGATCGAGTAAAAAAATTTGGACTCGAGCTCGACTCGATGAAATAAAGTTAAACTCGAGCGCGACTCGTTTGAACTCGAGTAAGTTTGAGTAAATATCAAACCCGAGCTACTCGAGCTCGAGTTCGAGTTTTGAAATAAATCTATAATTTTTTTAAAAATATATAATATATAATATAATATAAATATATAATATAAATAAAACATGAAAACTCGATTAAACTCGACAAGCACTCGAGTATTTATTTTTTGAGCTCGAACTCGACTCGTTAAATTTAACGAGTAGCTCGATCTCGATTTTATCAAGTTCGAATCAAGCTTTTGATCAAAGCTCGCGGCAGCTTGACTTGCTAGCACCCTTAGTTTTGACGGAACACAAATTTTTTAAATATTTAATATTTTAAAATTTATAAAAAAATATAATAAACAAAAATTAGAAAAAAAAATCGAAAACGTCTCAATTGAGCCCCAGTGATTCGATCAAGTTCTCGGTGATCCATTATCTCGTATTCACGTTGCCCGGCACTAAAACAGAACGGGGCGAGTCATCTCGGTCTCCGCAGATTTCTTGAACCAAAGGTGGATTCCTTTGTTTCATTGCAAGTACACACGCAACTACTGAATCCTCATCCATCCGTCCGTCCATTCATCCATCCATCATCATCATCAGCATCATCATCGCAACAAGCAAACTTGCAGTTTCCATAGCCAACAAAGTCAAACAATCTCTCGTAAGAAGTAGCAAAACCAGAGAAGGAAAGAGAGAAAAGTGGGGGAACAGCCAAGAAAGTGCAAGCAGAAAAAGAGAGAGAGAGAGGAAGGAGGAGGCGATGGTGTTCAATAGCCCGGTGGTGGTGGGCGTGGCCAACTTGTCGGCCAATGCGTGCCAATACGTAGCCTGTAATCCCGAGAGACTGCCGGGCGATCAAGTCCTTTATCTTGTCTTCTGTGTCCCTTTTCAGCAGATCCGTCGTTTCGCTCTCTATCTCTGGTCGGTCTTCTGCTTCCCTTTACCCCCTCACCATGGCCGAGACTACCACTATTACAACCCCCCACCTTCTCGCTACTATGCTAACTCTTCCTCTTCTTCTTCTTCTTCTTCTTTATCCACCTCGTCTTCAGGCTCTGATCTTCAAGCTTTACACCCTCATCTGCATTGACCATCCATTCATTGATTGATTGAGCGAGCGATCTTTCTCGGAAGACCAGGACCAAGACCCACCTTCCCCCACCGCCCCCATCCCAAAACCGAAAAAAAGAAAAAAGAAAAAAACCTCCCATGTACAGTAGCATTTTCTCTTTATCCTTCTTCCTTGCAGAATGAAATTAAAGCATGAAAGCAAATGTAATACAGCGCTTGTCTTTTATTTTGTGATTTGTGATTAGCGCTAGTCATTGATTTTGTGGTTTGCGATTTCCTTTCCCTGTCATTCTCTGGCGGCATAGCAGGGATAAGAATTTTTTGATGTTTAATACAGTAATTTGTTAAAGTTTTTGGCTTTCCTTCATTCTATTCTTCGTTTGAATTGAGATGCCTTGCTGATAGTTTTGGCTTTCCCACTTCTGTTGTGGCCTGTTCGTGGCACTGTATTTTATATATTTCAGGCTTCATTTCTTCCTTTTGAGTTGGTTCGCTTTTATTGATTCTAATAGTATCTGGTAAAGCTGATTTTATTGGCAAATTAATTGAAAATAGTGCTGGTCTGAATCTGCGTTGTCGCGTTATCATAAACAAATGCTTTGCCTTTATTCTTATTGGTTATACTAAATAGTGTAGATTGTGTGATCTCTTCTTTATTCTCTTCCAGCTTAACCATGGAATTACTGACTGATCATGTTCACATTGGATTTGTTTTGGCAACCTGATTTTGGGTTTCTCTGTTGGTTACAGATGATCACTTGGTTCGTTACTCTTTCATTTGTAGATGCCTTTGTCTGTAAGCTCGAGACTTTTTGTCTCTTTGATCTGTCTTATTTTCCATACCTTGCCATACATCCCATTGTTTGAGATGTCTATTTGTTTTATATTCTCTGGAGAAGGACCTTTATTCGGTAGACAATCTGGCTTTTCTTTATTGATGTCCTCCAATGTCTGGGAATGCGATACAGGGATGTTTGTTTGTTTTTAGAAGGGAGGTTGAGGCGCTGGGAATTTTGTGTAGAAAACAGGAATCATTGAGCAAGCTCATTTGTTTAGAAGGGGGAGGGTGGTTGGGGGGGAAGAGAAAATGAAGCACAAGAAAACGAGTTATTTGCAGAGAAAATGAATGATTTATCAAGTCCATTTTGGTAGGATTGGACGTTCTATTCTGACATAGTTACCATTAATGAGTGTGTTTGTTGATTACTTCTTGTTATCTTCAATGCATGGGTTTGTTTGGGACTCGGCAGGAAGTGGAAGAATTTAAACCCGAGGGAAACAGGTGAATAACAAGTTGAGTTGAGTCAACAAAGGAAATGGTAGTTGACTGAAGATCACCTTGCTGAATGAGGGAATTGGTTGAGGGGAATGACAGCCTTCATTGACAGGAGCTAATTGTTTCTGTGATAATAGTTGCTCTTTCAAGTTAATCTACCGGTTCCCCAAATGAAATTCAACGTATGGGAAATTGGATTGGAATCTTGTATGGATGGATGATATTATCTAGAGTGCTGCAAGCAACATGAAACTTTTCCTGAAAGTCTCTCTCTTAAATAAACAAGTATTTGATCCATGATATGTATCCTCTCCTGTGCCTTGAACTTGGATTGCTATACCGTTAAAGTTTACTTTGGGTAGTGGTTATAATTAAGATTTTAATCTGCCTTTTTGCACCCTTTTCTTGGAGTTCTCATCCTCGGAGGAGCAATGACAAAATCTGAGGTTGACTGTTTTCTGAGCTGGTTGCTGGGGTAGGGGGGTGACATTGCGGCTCGTCCAGTTGGATTTACTATAATAAGTAGTCTTTTCAGGGTGTCCATAGCTTGGACTGGAGCATTCCCAATGTCTGGATGGACTTGACAGGAATCCTTGGCCTAATTATTGATGTTCCACTCTACAACAGTTATGTTACCAGTCTTTCCTTCATCAATCCCTGGAAAATGAGAAGGTGAAGGTGCAGGACAACCGGTGTGACGGTGGAGGAGAACTGTAACATGTATTTGTAGAAGATAATGAAGGTGTTCATTTTCTTGTCATCTTTTCTCCTTCACTTAGGTCTGCAAACTACACCGAGAACATAACAACCCCCAAAATTTCGATTAAGAAAAAGAGAGAGAGAGAGAGAGGCAGAAAGCGAAGAGGTAGGCATTGAGTATTCCTTCCATTTGAATCTACAAAACGAAATATAAAAGCCCAAAGAATGAGATAAAAATTCCGAAAATGTTGTTCTCGCAATTATTATGGTAGAGACTGCCTAATCGTTCATTCTATGTAGAGGTGATATCTTATTAAATTGAGCTCGAGTATCGTCATATTCGAACTCGAACTCGATATCTAGTAGCACAACTCGAACGAGTTGTTTGATCAAAGTTCGACTCGATAGAGTTTGAGAAGTTGAGCCGCGAGCTCGACAAACGTTAGGGTCTTAAATATTATAAATAATCAACCTAAAAAAATAAATTTATTATTTATAATATATTAATTAAATATTACATCAACTATTCGATAGAGCTCGATGAGCTATCGAATATATGATATATATACATATTCGAGTTTGACTCGAAACCTCAATCAAATAACTCGAGCTCGACATTGACCGAATTCGAGTCAAGTAGTTGACCGAGCTACTCGCGAGGTCGAGTCAAGCTGCTCGATTGAATTGCACCCCTAATTCTATGTGCGCTTGTGCATTAGTATTAATTTGTCAAGTCAAATGTATTTTGGGAAATGATATGCACCTCCAAGATACATACATTCATGCTTTCATTCATCTCCTTACTTTACAACTTAAATTGTTGGATTGGTAAATTGGTGCAGACTTTTTTAGTAATTAACTTTTGCCTAACAAAATCCCCTCATGATTTAACAATGTAGACAAGTTAAAGATTTCAAGGGCTCAAAAACAAATTCCACAATTTGGAATGCATGCATCAATTTCCATCTTTTATTCCTAACAATTAAATATTTTTTTTCCTGTTTGTGATAAATTAAACTAGAAGTCAAGTTAGGAGGAGTCCGAATTAGGGGTGTATTCGAGCCGAGTCGAGCTCGAGTACCGCTATACTCGAGGTCGACTCGGCTATAATATAATTATACTCGAGCTCGAGCTCGAGCTCGATCGAGTCAGAGAATCACAGCTCGAGCTCGAGCTCGATCGAGTCCTTAAAAAGCTCGAGCTCGACTCGATAAGGGTACTCACCCGTAATTTCTCAGAATTTATTTACCTATATTAGTAATTTTATATATAATTTATTTTTTATTTTTTT